TTTTCTGGTAGGAAGGTTCATGTTCAAGTGAACATCTTGTACCTAATGCCTTAGGTTTTATTGGTAAAAAAATGTTGGGTTTACGTCTAAAAGAACGATGATGTGACTTTATTGACTCAAAGGTTTCGGTATGACTCTTTATATCTCCATGAATTATTCTGGGTAAAAAAATCGAGGGATTTTTTTTGTTTTGTTTTTTTTAACAGGATAAGAAAGGTCTGATCTTGCCATATGTCAAAAATCTATAATTCTTGAAGAATTAAAAGAATATTTAATTCATTTAATATTCAAAGAACTAAAAATTAAAATTTGCTCAATTATTTCACCTTATAAGGTAGCATAAATTCAATCATTTAAAGGATTAAGCAAACATGAAATATCAAAATACGTTCAAACAAAAACAATGCTCTCAGTACAAATGGTAGATGTAATGCCCCCTTCTTCGATTATCCATACTCCTGAATCCATCAAGTTTTGAATCTTGCGCTTCAGTGCCTTACAGTTCTTAGAGTAATGTTTGGAGCTTCCTATGTGATAACTGTGCACGATATCAATATCATAACCCTCGGGATATAGGGACTCTTTTCTCAGATCATCTTGGCAGGCTTGGCCATACAATCAGCTGATCAGGCTTCCACTGTACTGATTTCAGTTTTAATTGATAAAATCTTTCTTCCATGTAGTGTCACGTGATTAAGAACATTGCATCGAATCCTCCATGAAGAAATTTATGTTTATGAAAATGCTTAAAAATGAAATGTAGATGCAAAAATGCATGACATGCTCGAGGCATTGATCCGAAAACATGCTTGTTATTATAAATAATCCTTATTAGAGACAAAAGTGTTTTATATTTTAAGAGACAAAAATATCTTGACAGCTTCTGACATGTTGACTAGTCTTCTGCCTTCGTCTGTCACCGGTTGAATAACCTGTCAAACCGCTCCGGCTTCTCTGGATAAACCGTGCAAATGTTAACCTCTCCAGATTCTCTGGATGAACTGTGCAAATGACTGCATCTCTGCATTTATCTTTTATTGAACCTGTTCCCATCGAATACGTCATTGGAACCCTCAATTGATAGGAACTATGTGAAGTTCATTTGTCTATTTCTTGAATTCATCAGCAATGGTCTCCAATTTCAGCTATCGTTTTGCCATTGTTATCTTTGAAGGGACTCCCAAAATCAGTAACCTTCATCTTGCTCCTGCAATCTCTGCCAGTCAGTTCTTCAAATATAGGCTTTCATTGTGATTGATGTAAACCCGGTTCATTGTGAGTCCTTTATAATGCAGCAGAGTGATATACTATTCAATTGTGGGCACAACGTCTTCTGGATCGAATGTGACACATAATCGCCTTGTAGATTGTCCCCTGTATTTTCATCTCTTGTATTACAACCCCTTTATCTATTAATGCAAATTATTTACGTTTAACGAACACGTTTTTATGGATCAACACCTCTTTTAAATGATGTAAATGATAAACAATAAAATAGAACAATAAAAAAAAGGGAAAATGAAATGAGAAAAAAAAATTAGTGAGATAAGGATAATAAAAAAAAATAATGAAAATAAAAAGTCCTACCCCACATGATATCTACCCCACATGCTTAGTATTCCTACTCGTACATGATCTCTATCCCACAAGTTGATTTTGAACAAGTCCTAACCGCATAAATTTCTAGTTCACATGCTTTGAACATAAAATAAGGCAGGAAATGAACTCAAAATAGCCTAGGGTTTGAAATGAGGTTTTGGGGTAACTATAATTTTCTGTAGTCTCTCGGTTTAGGTTCTAAAAAACGGTACCCGAGTTCTCCTTGCCGGTGCCCCCTTGGGCTTTCCAGACCCTTAGTCCTAAACCCATCACAGGCTTGTGTGGACTAAGTTAAACTCGAGATGACACATTCCATTATACCCGCACGGTGAATAAATTCACACGAAGACATAAGGTATATGAATCCTGAAGGTTACTTGCTAGGCCCGCACGGAGAATAAATTCTCACGAAGGCGTCGCTTTCACCCCCACTTAAATAGGGTTCGGAGCTCGGGTATAGAGCATGAGATGACAAATTTGAAAAATCTAAAAACATTAAAAAACGTTAGTACAACTATTTATTTGAAAAATATTCAAAGATAAATAATTGGAATCGAATAAATAAATAAATTAAAATTTACCATTTTCGCATAAAAAGACAACCGAAAATTAATTCTGGTCTGACTCACTTACTGTCCCCAGCGGAGTCGCCAAGCTGTCGCGACCGTCTTTCGGGTGGGCCCGGAATTTGGCTTTGACTTGAAATAAAATATTGTAGAGTCGCCACCAATCATTTATTTTTCGTAAAAAATTTGGTTGATCGGATACCATCTTACCTGATCTGCGTTTTACCATAAATATGTCGAGTTCGGGAGTCGGTTACAATCAAGGAAGGATTAGCACCCTTGAATTGCCCTTTCGGTACCATTTAATTTACCGGTTGTCTTAATTGCGAAAATTGAAATTGAAATTACAATTTGGATATTCGATTCAAATTACTTACATTTGATTGGTTAAAATTTTCCTAAAAAAATCATAAATAAAGTTAAAAAATAAAACACACAAAAACAAAGAGTTAGTATTAAAATTGAAAAATGATAATAATAAAAAGTAAATAAAAGAAATAAAAAAAGTACCAAATTAAGAGTAAATAATTACTAAAATAAAATAAACAGAAAATAAAGTACCCAAATTAGAAACAAACAAAACAAGAAATACAACATGTTAGTGATTAAATTAAAATAATGAAATTAAAGTGCCATAAATGAAACAAATAAAATATAGAGTTTTAGGGACCGGAATGTAAAAACTCGGCAACATTTAAGGGGGTTATACGTAATTTGTACGCATATATTTGGGGGTCCTTATGCAAAACACAACAGAAATTGAGGGGACTTGAAGTGAATAGACCAACATTTTAAACTACCAAAAGTAAAAGATGACAAACAATTTGGGGACCCTAAGTGAGGTTAACCCACAATCTAAATTAAAACACTCCTCCTTCCTTGTTCATTTCCAGAACACGTGAATTAAGACAAAAAAAACCCTTTCCCCATTTTCATTCTCAGTTTGCTATAGACCTCTAACTTTTATTCATTTTCTTTCGTTCTAATTACTCAACCTCCCCACGGCAGACACTCTAAATCCGACGACGACGACACACCAAATCCGGCGATGTCAACACTAACCCGACGAACACCACAGCATCTTGGTAATTTTAAAATCCTAACTCATATATATTTTTAGGGAAAAAAATAAACCATAAATAAAAATTATACTAACTGATTTTTTAGTTGTAATCTGAGAATTAAGCAAACAAATTTAACTAGGATTAATGAAGTAACTTAGGATTCTATTCTATCCTCTTTAATCTATCTCTATTTTTTACTACATGCTGTAAAAATATGGTTATTATGCATATATATATATATATTACTGGTATTTCGAAAAGAAAAAAAAATACACAAAAATACCTTAAGACTTGCTTTGTATTTCCTTCAACGAATCGATCCCAAAATTTCCCCCCTCTTTTCTTACATTTTCATTCGGGTTTTATAACCCCTATTTTACGTAACATTTCCATAAAATAATACAACTTGTGATGTGATCATAATTTGGATTGGATTTCACATACATCTTTATCTTTGTGAGTTGGCAATGGTAGAAAACATGTGTTCTTGGGCAGCTTGGTGTAATGCTGGGATGAGGACAAAATCTGAGGTCTACAGAAGGTCGTTAATATCTTCCTGACTCTCTCCTTTGCTCTGGGAACATGGCTATATGAACAGTGTTGATTCAAGCCAAATGAAGTGCTCTCTGTCAAGCATTTGGCTTCCATTTATAGTGAATGTAATGGGCTTGGATGGTGGTCCGACCACGAAATTTTTAATTATTTTTCCCCTTATACCAAGTATAGCTGCAAATAAACATAGCGATTAACGATTTACTTTTCAATCGTTTATATATTTTTCTTTGTTTAGTTAAAAAGAAATAATATGAATGACAATTATAGTATTATATAATAATTTGTGTATTCAGTTCAAACTCGTTCACAAACATGTTTATTAGTTATTGTACACGATTGTTTATTTGTATCTTTGTCTAAAATTTATACTTTCTAATGAAGATACTGAAAAATATTTGTTTATTTTATTCATTTATATATAACTATGAGTAACTTTTATGTTTGATTATATCTATAGAAAATAAATGTTTATTTATGAGTTATTTACTATACATAAACATATATTTTAATTGTTATCGGAGCATGTTCAATTATATGTCATGACTATATTTAATTATCATGAACATTTAATATTTATGAATGTTCATTTATTTAATTATCATGAACGTTTAATATTCGAGAACATATTCATCAAGTGTTAAGGGATATGTTCATTTAGTGTTTATGTTCATAAACACGTTTATTTAATAGTAATGAATATGTTATTCTAATATTTGTGTACATGATCGTTCAAGTGTAGGTTTATTTAGTGTTTAAAAACATTAAACAAATAAACACAATTTTTTTTATAAAAAAAGATAAACACAATTTTTTTTTTTACTTTTTATGTCATTAATCAACAAAATTTTGAAGGGAAGAAATAAAAATATTTGTTTTCGTTTTTTTAACATCATTAGTTTTCACGAAAATAAATCAATGATTGAATCTGAGATTGATAATGTGAATTGAAAATTTGATAAAATCTTGTAATTTCACCATAGTTTAGCCTAAAAATTTATAATAAATTACTGTTTTTTAAGTTTCAAAGGAGAAATGATTTCATGTTACAGTCACTTAATTTTATTAGATTTGAGATACCCTTTAAGTGGAGAAACGATTTAATGTTAAAATCACACACACACACACATACATACATACATACATATATATATATATATATATATATATATATATATATATATATATATATATATTCGAGTTCAAAGTCTACTTTTAATTCTCTATCTCAACTAAATTCCAACGTTGATCTCCAGGTAAAAGTAATTCCATTGTCTCCGGGTTAAGTCAGTCAATTTGACCTTATTGTAAATACCCTTCATGTTTTAGGTACCACAATGCACCTTCTGCCGCATGCTCAGCGGCTGCCTTCTTTGTAGTCCGAGGACTGCTGAAGCACTCCAAGATCATATCCGATGCTTCTTCAATTTCTAGAAGTACCCTGTAAGTGAACCTGCAAAAGAATATGAATACAAGGTTTGAATACAGATTCAAGGAAGAGAGCAGTAATTCGAAGTTCCGGGCTTTCTACCCTAAATGAGACTTTTGAGCTACAACCAATCATTTCTTATAGGTGCACGGCGTACTTACAATCTCAAATGGCTTGGTCCTTCCTCTTTGCAACATTCAAACAAAGGGGGTTTCCAACAATTGATGGCACAGATTTCATATAACTGTGATCTCGCAGTACGAATATGTGATTCACCTGAGAAGTTGAGAGATGAATAAGATAATTGTTCCACACTGACTACTCATAAAACGTGTAACAATCATTGACCTTTGGATGGCGAGTCAATCCCACAACTACTTGATGTTGAACGTCCTGTTTTTGCTTCCAAAGAATGCAGAGATTTGCTAATAGGCGAGGTGCAAGGTGAACCAGGAGAAGACGTTGTCTTATTAATGGAACGGGTTTCTGGGTTGCAATCATCGTCAAAAGATTCTTGCAATTTCATGTTTCCAAATGCAACGGTGTCGGGAACAGCGACATTAATTGGTGTTTCATCAAATCCAATCAGCTTGGCTTCAGCTTTGATGCTTCCCTTTAAAACTTCCTCTAAGGAATTTGATTTTGGTGCATATCCTAGAGCCTGCACATTCAAAGACTCGCATATTCACAATCATTTTGTCGGTAAGCAATAAAAGGAACCAAAGACGAGTAAATATCCAAAAATAATCTTCTAATGGTATCAAGAAGAGGAACAAGGAATGTATTAGGGAAACTTTTACCTTTAACTTTTCGTATAGCTGATGTGCGGCAGTTCTGATAGCATCTTTTTTATTAGTGTAGATTGCAGAAATGGTTACAGAAACATCTCCCGCAGATGCATTCACTGAAAAAATTCTGCCACTTTTTGATGGTAAAAAGTTCAATTCCCAGTTATGAGACTGGCAAAATTCCGTTACTTCCCTGACAGGATTGAGCTGCACACTTGAAAGGCTCTTGATTGGATCCAAAAGGGATAGCATTATCTTCCAAACACGGGTCAAGTCAAACCCTGTATCAAGGAGAATAGCACCGAAACAGGACTCTACCAAGTCACCAAGAGCCTGTATCAAAACATTAAAGCTATTAAATTAAGAACCCTTTTTGAAGGTATGATGCATAATAGCATTGTGTTCTTGTACATATTTGCTTAAGAATATCAGTTCCACCTAACTATCATAAATCAAACTAAAAGAAATAATCAGAATCCACCACCCACATCTTCGTCCTCAACAAGAAAAAAGCATAAATTAAATCAGTTCCATAAATTTATCAAAATCCACGCACTCTTCTCAAATCAGTTACATACTTTAAACAGAATATGGAATTCCACCTTTCCCTCATAACTTGAATTAAAAGAAATAAGAAAATCCATCACATACATGTTAGGAACCGAGCTTTGCATTTGTTAAATTCATTATCTAAAGGTAGCTCGAATTCATTTATATCTCGCATGTTATAAAGGGAAAAAAGAAGAAAGCATGCAGCACGCATAAGATACAACAGATAATACCTTTGGACATTTTGGCCCTTCAAACAATCCCCTGTTTGGCGATGATGTGAAGAAGGAAACATATTTTTCTATGGCATCGTTAAGCGGACTAGATTCGGAGATAAGAAATTTGTGTAAACATCTCTCCACCGCAACATTGGCAAAGGACTTGTTGTTAACTGACACTGATCTCAAATCAGTCAACTGACCAGGCTTCAACTTTGGATACAGTGAAAACAGATATGACGTGATTAAATAATCCAAGACAGCATCTCCAAGAAACTCCAATCTCTGGGAAGATATCGAAGTATTATTAATTGTAGCATCAGAAAGTTGGTGAAAATATGCATAAAGTTGGTGAAAAGCAGAAATAGTGCATACCTGGAAGCATCCTCCGCCATGCCTATTATAAGAAGGATGCACAACCGCCTGAAGGAGGAGACCTTTGTGAAGAAACTGATAACCTAACAAATTTTCAAGAGCTTCAGTATCCACTTGGGAGGAAAGTGGCATGAATCTCTTGCTTGCGGAGCAAATACTATTAATTTGAGAACCTTGGAAGTCCACTCGTATGCCAATCCATCTAAGAAATGCAGTTGCAGCTTGGAATCCCCTATCAACTATAAATGCTCCTACAAGAGCCTCAACCACATCAGCAATCGTTTTCTTATGTAGCCAATGGTGATTTCTACTGCATCTAATTTCACTATTTGCACTATCTACTTGACAGCTATTTTGTGAATGAACAGTTTCTTTAGTTTCTTTTGTACAAATTACTGGGCAGGGATAGCCCAGAGCAAAGAACTGGCAAGGATGGAAAGGTTGATCGCGTATGTAAACCTGAAATTATTGGAAATACAGCATCATAAATATTAATATTTATTTTAAAGACCAAACATACGTTAGACATATTAAATCTTCTTGGGTTCAAATTATCCATCCCAAATGACTTTAACATGAAGCATTTGAGTATAGAAAAAAATCTTCAAACATATTAGCCAACACCAGCAGGGAGGGAAGAAGGAATACGATAGGTCTAACCAAAGACATTGTCTTTAGTTTAATCATTTTTATAAATACCACATTTTTCAATAGTTTTTATGTTTACAGGTCCTAGATAATTAATCCATGTTGGACAAGTAACATATGAACATGCACCTTAGCATTTAATGCAACCAGTCCACATCTGTAAGTAGTGAAGAATTACAGGCTGAAATCTTAAAAAAATTCTATGTTTTTGAAATAGTTTGATGGCCAACCGTTAAACTTTCTCAAGATATAATAATTATGCTAACCACAACAAAAGTAAAAACAAAAATCATAAGAATATCACATTCAAAATCACAATCAAACCTGCAAATTGCGTCTTGTTGCTAGCTTGAACAAATTAGAATTGTTTACAGCATTAGACCTTCTCCTAGTCAATTGCCCTTCATCGAGTGAATCATGTAAAAGAAAAAGATGGCGGCCTACAGCAAACTTGAGGAAGGCATCACCAAGCGATTCAAGCCTTTCAAGAGAGAAACGTTCTTGGCACTTCTCTGTAGTGAGTGCTTCTAGGACCTACCACCATTTCAAACTGTTAGTGATAATATTCAGGCATATGTTTGAGTTTCTTGAGTAAACAAATGGACTAGCACAGAAAATAACTTAATGGATGTGTAACCTAAATTGCTATTGACAATACCATATGCAGTTGGGTCTTACCCTTCTGGATGAAACTTCAGTTCCCTCAGGAAATGAAGCAGAAAAAACATGCTTCAATTCAATAGCCACAAGCAAGTTCTCTAGGCGATGCATAATTGATGGTAACAAAGAAAGCGAACTCCCAATATCTTTGGAGAAGCCTATTATTTTCAACTGACAAAGCTCAGGAGGCAAATCAATGAAGTATTCTTCCAGTTCATGCGATTCTGTTTACAACAAAGAAGCAGCCTTAAAAAAGGAAAAGCCAGAGAAAATCAACAAGAAGACATTTTTATCATTCATTTTATTTGCTGATAAAGAAAATGAGAGAAAGGATTCCTGTTCTTTTCCTTTTCTTTGGTGAGTGGGAAGAGATTTTGGTACTAAAAATGTGGCATGTATACAGAGAACATTTTAATCTTCGTAGAAGATTCTGACAAAACCAATAACTCCACGTTCCAAGTGCCAAAGCAGAACACAAAATGGCCAGCAAAGCTGCTTGTAAAGTGTTTTATTGTGGCAATAGCCTGATTCTAGTTACTACCAGGTAATCCTGAAAAGAAAATTTATGGCTTTATTTTCACCACCATATGAGAACTCATACTCTCATTCTATTCACCTAGCTTGAGCATCTCTCATTTCCAAAAGAATAGTGTTCAAGATATCTCTTTCACATCAAATAAGCTTCGTAGATATTATTATGCTATTTCAAATCTGGTAATTTCTAGTTTCCAAGTGTTTTCTCGACGAAGATACGACAAATGTATTGCAACCTGACAAAACAAATAACAATATACCCTGAAGATGGTAGCAAGTTCTGGAATATCATATCGTAAACACAAAGAATCAAGTAAAACAAGCAACATAAGTTCTGGAATATCATATTTTGATCACAAACAATCAAGAAAAAAGCGACAAACTTAGGGGGGAAAATAACCATGACAATAAAGAAACCAAAGCAAAAGAGAAGCTACCTGAATCCTCTGGCTTTCGGTTGTGTAGCAAATTGTGCAATTTAAAAAGTGGTTTGCATGCAGAAGAGGTGTTCAGGGTACTTAAGATGAATGTCAGACCTGATTGATAACATTAGTGTTAAAATTCTATCAATTGAATATTATATCAAAATCTTCCCATTAGAAATCAAGCTATTTTCTGATAATACTAACAGTTGTGAATCAAGAGTCGAGCTACCAACATTTTTAAGTGCTCCACGTGATTTACAGTGCCGGAATCTCTACATGGGCTGTAACCATTTTTTTCACTGACAATATTAGTAATAAAGTAAAAGGCCGCCTTGTGTGGAGCATACACCAAACTATTCTCAATGTCTCTAATACTCCTACAACCATTTACAAGTTGCAAGCAAACGTCTGAAGAGAATTTTTCATTCTTTGCAGCTTCTACAGGAGTCTTAAAAAGTGGAGATGACAAACATCTTTGCACAATTGCCCAGTCCACTGTCACTTTATTCTCACAATTGGAAAGAATAACAGGGAGTAACAAGTAGAATGTTGAGGAGCTTGATGAAAGAAAGTCGTCGTTTCCTAAAGGAACAAATTCGGAAAGGAGTTTTGATCTATCAAGGATGACCTTCAAGAACATTTCTTGAAAATGCAGTGCTTCCATGATCTGCATACGTAGGAATCTATAGTGAATTTTGGTAAGTAAGTTAGAACAAACTTTTCAAGAACAAAACATAGTTACCTCTTCTCTCTTAAATTCTGCTACTCCTGATGGGACAAGCTTTGTCATCACCGACCTACGGCGAGCTAGGTGAAGATCCAGCTCCATTCTCTCAGCTTCTTTAGGTAGAGGAGACTTGACAAAAAGTGCGAACTCTTTGTAGCTCCTATCCTCAGGATCCGGAATAAATTTTATATAGTACGTATGAAGGACATAGTTTTCCAAGTTAGTCCATGGTTCTTTAAGCATGGCAGGCACAAGCATCTCATGTAGTTCACCACGTGAATCCTCATCTGCCAACAAACAAAATTAAATTTTGGGGAGATTAAAGACAAGCAAAAGTGATTAGTTCTTCAAAAAGAAAAGACAACAAAATTGCTCCACATCAACCTTCAGAGCACCCTGAATCAGAATCCACCGGCATTGCCTCCTCCTCAAGAACACTGTTTTGCAATGGCAAGAGGTGATCTGTCAAGGCTCCCAATTTATGCAGTTCTTCAATGGCTTTTAGACAAGCATCCTTTTGGCAGCATTAACAGAAGATTGAGGTGTACTGGAAATTTGATTTATTGGAGCATTGGAAGGTAAAATTATATTGCAGATTGTTCCTCCAGTATCATCAAAATAATAAAAGCTTGGCTTGGGTGAAAGTACCTGGAAATTTTTTCATGGGGATAATTTAAGGAGTAAAATAATTTCCACGCAAACAAATGTAGTGGATATTATAATTTTAAAAGCGGGTAAGAACGAAAAAGTTAGAAGGCATACTCGTCATGGGGCAGTTTTGAGCAGTAATGATGAAGTAGAGAGATACTATATCCCGAACTAATGGAAGCACCAGATGAATCAACTTTGTACATTTTCTCCTCAAGAGCAATAGAAACATCAGTAGATGTTCTGAACGTAATTTCCATATTCATACGATCTTCATCTTTCTTAAAATTGTTAATCAAATTTAGTTCCCTCTCATTTGCACTGCATTAAGAGAAAGAAAACTTATTTTTTCCAAATAATGGAAAGGAACCATAAGGACAGACCTTCAAATAGCATATACTTTTATGAACAGCACCTGTTCACTAGAAATGCATACTCAGACACAGGCATTCTGGCCCGACCTCTTGATTGGATAAAACTTGCAACAGTTTCTGGAAGGTCAAAACGTATCACGAGGCAGCATGTCTGGATGTCAAGTCCTTCTTCACCAACTTTAGTTGCAACCAGAATATTCAACTGCAAAGTCAGCATTCAAGGAATCAAGAATAAATCAGTGTTCCTGCCGGTCATACCAGCTGAACTGGAAATCAAGTATTTACCTGGTCCAGTATATATCATCAAACTCGAAATTGAAAAAAAAAACAATTAAACCATTAAAAACTGTAAACACTGATTTTGAAACATTTCTTAAAAGCTTTTTTGAAAAAAAATTATTGTATTTATGAAATTTAAACCTTTAGTCCCTTGAATCAATGTTAAAGATTGTATCATTTAGCCAAATACATATTTTTTTTAGATTTACCATATTCAATAATAATTTATTATTAAAATTACTTGTTCAATACCACTAGCTTGTTCAACCGGTCCAGCCCGCTGGACCGGTAACCAGAGTTCTTACAGGTTTGATATGCGGCCTGGTTTTTAGACATTAGAATAAACAACTTATTTCAACCCGCTAAGAACCCCCAGCAATACTCATGCAAGGTTATCCTACACAGAAGGCAGACATCTTTTTACTACTGCAAGGCAACTTAATGTGCAAACAGCTTCCAGATGTCATCTGTTTGATGCACCACATCAGCTCAAAGATGCATTGGCACTGGCATAATCCAAGTTAAAGATCCATCTTTTTTTTTTGGTTCCTTGCCAAGATTTTTTAGATACATATGTAGTTCAGTTTGTTTCTATGAGTTATAGTTGATATAAACTGCTAAAGCTAGGAGATAATGCATTACCCCCTATATGCCTAAATAGCGTTTACTATTGGTAATCTTACATTACCACTGTCAGGTATTGTAAGGTTACCCGAACCGAACACACCCTTACAGTAATGATAATGCGTGTCAAGAAACAAAAAATCAGCACTACATTGTACCCAAAGCATAAAATGAGCCAAACTTCTTAAAAGCAAAGATAAAAGTAACAATTCAATGACATGCAAGTTCACATGACATGGAAGGGGGTAGGGTAAACTAGGAATAGTAACAATACAAGAAAAGGGTTACCTCTCCAGTTCTGAACTTCTCAAGAATGTTTTTCATTGTCTTTCTTGACATACTTTTAAGTCCAGAATGGACTCCCAAGAGAAAATGGCACTTCCAAGATGATAGGAACTTAAGGTTTTGCAGTATGTATGACAAGGATCTTGCAGTAACAATTCTATTCACAAAAATTATACATTTCATATTTGGCTGTACGCTGCAAAAGGAATTGTAGAAGTTTTTCAGAGAAATATTTATATAAAACACCTTACTTGTTAGTTAAATAATGAAAAAGCATAAAAAAAAAGCAGTGGTAAAAGTTTGTTTGTAAGTAACCAGACAAAGAAGTGACACATGGTGTGAACACATGATTAATATGAAGAAAAAATCACTGCAATTAGGTTGACCACAAATGGCTGCTCCCCTCAAATCTAAATAAATTACCACCGCACCTCATGCAAAATGTCCTTTATCAAGATGCTCAAATAAAAAGTTATATTTACCGAGTAATACAACTATTGAAATGTCCCCATGTAGGTATATCTAACAAATAACCAAAAACCAATAGGCACGCTTGAATACAAACCTGAAGGTGGCAAGGATTCCAACAAGGCGTAACAGCTTTTTCGAGAAAAATGGCTCCTTCAAAATCTCTACATCAGATAAATCATATGCAGACCCATCTACAATATTACAAAGACTAATAGCTGAGATTCTTACTCAAGTTGACTGAAACAATCAGCAGAGTATAAAAGTTCAAAGTCTATCAAACAATCTCCATTTACCAAAAATAATAATAAATTATTTGAAGTTAAACCATACAATAAAGTAGTAAATCATAAGCAACCATCAAGAAACAGAAACAGTAGGTAGAATTAAGTTGAAGCTACTACTAAAAGTCCCTAAACTGATTACCATATCTCTCCTGCATAACTGAAATTTGATGAGCACCATAGATGGGTATGCAGCAACCAAGAAACTAGACAACAGCTAGAATGAAATTAAAGCTACAGTTTAAAATGCCTGAACAGATTATACCTCTCTTACAATCCAAAGCAAAAACATCAGCAGCCTGCGCAAGATATCGATCACATACAGAGTCATCACTTAAAATTCCTTCATCTTCTATCAATTCATTCCGCTCAGAGTTATTACAAAGAAGTCGGCAAGCCTACAAAATGCGGGGAGAGATTAAATCAGAAGTTCCCCAGATATTTTAACCAGGAATATTTCCAGCATGAACTTGCAGGAGTATAGAATTTGTGAATATTACTCGGATAAGTAGAAAACAGTTGCAGAACATGACAGTAGAATATTTTATTGCATAGGAAAGGTTCTCAACTGCCAATTAACAGAAACAAGAAATTCAGCTGTTTTCACAAGATCTTACTTGTAATGCTCCCCAAAGGCCAAGATTTTCCAAGCAAAAGATTATATTATCATGCATTCTATTGAGCAGCTTTTTTGTGTTCTTGGCAGATTGAAAATCACCATTCTTCCTGATAAGTAATATGCACTGCTCTTGCCATGAAGAAACAGAAAATTGAAATAAGCTTTTTTCATGATAATTAAGTTCAAGAGAGTGCAATGTGTCACTGCAACATACCTGGCGCTTAATGTCCTCAAGTTTGTGACAATAAATATTGTAGGAACTAGAAGGACCAAAAATGACAGGACCATAATCATATACTTTAACAACTGGAGTTGCTACAAAGCTTTCTAATTCCTCCTTATCTCCAACTGAATAGACCTACAATTTACGGCAGGAGAAATATTAGAAAATTGACTACTCTGAGCATCTGCATCAGAACAGAAATGGCGTTTGAAAAAATCCCTCCCCTTACATAGCTTATTACAGTTTAGAAAAGGTTAAAAGAACCAAAGTCTTCAATTTAGGCTAACAAGATCATCACTTCACAAATTAAGAAGGCACAGCATCTACAATTAGCATTACAAAAACCTACCCAAATAACTAAGAATAGTATCTTCATAAGCTACATGTATTCTAACTTAACAAGGGAACCTTTAGGCGCCAAAAAACTTCCTATGACATATATGAAATATTGTTTAGGTGTTTCGTTCATCATGTTGGAATTATGATTGAACTGAGATCCCTATCTATAACCATAATTAGTTTTTAGAAGGAAAACAACAGACTGCATTAAACCAGATTATATCGCAAAGTGAAAGTTTCCAAGACTCACCTTAGCATCAAGCAAGTTTTCAAGACTGTTGATGCTTTTTGGTAAATTTACTTGGCTAGAAGCATCTGAAAGCATAAGATAGGTTATCGTAGAAGTAATTATCAAAATAGGAGATAACAACTAATAACTAGAACACCCTGTCAGTGAAGTAGAAAATATATCACTGAAGAGCACTACAAGATGAAACACATTGTGTCATTTCTAAATTTAAACAAGTTATTAGAAAACAAAAATGAAGATGGGTTAAAATATGAGAATAATCAAAAGACAAGTGTTTTCTATTTGAAAATACCAGATGTTCATTACTTTTTTGCTTAGCATTTTGCAAGATAAGAAATTGACCCATAATTAAACAACATTTGAAGGCATTAGTTAATAAATAAATGTTACTATTTATATAAGAACCATTAATATTACTTATTCCATTAACTGCTTTTTTTTTATCTCTAGTACTTGGCATCTGGAATCATTTTCTTGAATGCTTCCACCTTTACATGCAACAAATTTTCATAGCACCTATAATCTCTCGTAATTCCAATGGGACAAAATTTTTTGCAGAACAGGAGTTGAAGAACTCATAATCGGTACATGCAATGACTCAGCTTCAGTTGCAAAAGAAATGCAACTTTTTAATTACCTTTACCAACAACGGGAGAGGCTGTCATGCCAAATATACGAGGAAACATTGATGCAGTACCTTTATCATAAAAAACCTACATGATTGTCAAATAAATCTAATACATCAACTGATATAAAAAAACTAAAGTAAATTTATAATTGAGAGTACAAATACAATAGGTGTAGCACTTTACTTTCATGATTTCTGCATATGGATGATTGCTTTTACTTTGAGCATGATGACACTCATCAAATATAAGAAGAGCGATTAAGTCCATCCTGATGAAACAGTGATATAAACTACGAAGTAGTATTTGAGGTGTCATAACCAGAACCTATAAAAAGATAATGAAAGATCAGCATGAATAGAAACATAAGCAAAGGAGCATGCAAATCCTTAAGGATCCATAATCCTATGTAAAAACCCTCTATATGGTGAAAAAAAGGAGAAAGAAGAATTAACACCAATAACGTATTTACTCGAGTGTAATAAATTTCAATTGGTAGGCTTCGTAAGACATATCTCTTTCTAGTCAAGCTTACTATATATGCCCTTTGATCTGATTGCATTATAAACCCGAAAGAAGAATGACAAAATGACACGTAATTTTTTATTTAATGAGAATCTTCTTTATCTTTCTATATCCAAAATAGTCTATCATAGGGTGTCGAACAACACGTGGATAAATTTTAAAATTGCATAAATTAAAGAGCATAATCACCTCATACTGTTCGATCTCTTTTTCCCAGTCATGATGGTTCTTCAAGTGTCTGCAGTTACCACAAAAAGTCCCAACCTTGAAATCAAGAGAATCTTCTATAACACGTGCTTGCTACAAAACAATAACAGATTCATTCAAAACCATGCATGGTCCAATGCTTCATAGAATCTACAATCAACAATTCAAGTTGGTTCCTAAATTCCAAACTTAGCTAAAACAATATTACAACCCCAATCATTCCTGAAGATAAAGTGCTAACCTGCTGAACAAGAGCCACAGTAGGAGCAAGAAAAATACATATCCTTTTCTGAGGTTTCCGTATCAAATGACCAAGCTCATAAATAAGCAGAACAGCAATATGAGTCTTCCCACAACCAGTCTCCAAGTATACAATTATGTTCTCTTCCATGGCTTTCTTGCATAACTCCAGCTGATACCTTAAATAAAAGCATAAAACCAAATACAATTTTGAAATAAAGAAAAATGAACAAGGTAGAGCTTCCAACAGTTTGGCCAAAACAGCAACTCAATAAACAGTCAACACATCATCTTATACTTGGCTTTCAATGTCCCCACAAGAGAACACACGCACACAAACACACATCCCCCCAAGCCAAACAAACCGCTCTTGTTTAATTTAACTGGAGCTCATGCAAAGCAATCCAAAACAAGAAAACCATGGCAAATCCACATTGCATAAAGAAAGAAAGAAACATTAATATTTACATGTATAGAACGTAAAAGGGACTAACTTTCTAGCAATAGTTCGCGGGTCCTTCTCTTTCTCTACCACTTTTGTTTCATCTCCTCTAATTTCAACAATCGGCGAGGGGGGAAAAGCGGCCCCGTCGGTGGACAACTCGCCGTCCGGCATCAGTGAGAGAATTATAGCCTCGGCGGTGAGAAGAACAGTAAATTATTACTTAATTTCTAAGTCTCCAGCGACGGTAAAAATTCAAGAAAGAAAACAATATTCTTTTTGTTGTTGGTTGCTTTGATCAATGGAAATGGATGACGAAATTCTTTCGATTTATAAAGAAGAGCCGTTAGATTTGGCGTAAGTAATCGTGGTCAATCAATGTGAAGTCAACTCACCTACTCTGTCTTCTTTTTATCTATAATATATTTTTTAATCTTTAAATTCAATATTCATAAATAAAATTGAAATTGAAAATTAATTGAGAAATAATATTTGATCACTTATTTTTAAATATATTTATATTTTTCTCAAGTAAATACTTAATTTTAAATGCACCCATGATCTTTTTATTTTTAATGATTATTTGAATTTAATTAGTAATTAATAATTTGAGTATAAGTTTAAAGTTAAAAAAAATCATTTAATTTCTATTTAGAATGAAATATGTTTTTAAAAAATTCAATAAATTTGTGGAGAATTTTTTTTTGCGTCATAATATCTTGACAATTATCATTTTGAATTGAAACTTAATCCATAAGTAACATTAATCAAAGACTATCATTAGTAATTATTGTATCTGAAATTAAAGTTTACCGAGAAAAATGTTACGCCATCATATTATTAATTATTTAATGACTCAATGCTTTAATTAAACCTTAAATTAAAATTCAATGTTAAAAATGAAAACTTAAAGATAGGTGATGAAAATAACATACAATCTAAAGTTTAAGGATATTTTATGAATTTATCCTTTTTATGCTTGTCCTCGTGAACATAAAAGGCAACGATTATTGGCTTGACACAAAACACAGAATGTGAGATTAAAACACATAATATAAATTATAATATATTGCAAATATATGAAATTAAATTAGGGAGAGCACCAAAGAATAAATTATCAAATAGAGTTGCGCAAGAAATAGAATAAATATTGAAGATTATTTTTTTTTAATAAATATCTAGGTGTTTGTGTGGTTATATTTAAATTTTAATTTATACATTTTAAATATAATCTTTGTAAATATAAACAAGCATTTAAAACTTTAACTGATTTGTTTAATAATTAAATTGATAGTTAAATTGAAAAAAATAATATAGTTAAAATGATATTAAAAGTTTAAATATTCAATCGAAATATTTTAAAATTCGATTATCGATATAAAAATTAAACAATGATCTAAGGAGGTATGATGTAATTGCCTTTTCTTTCTTTAATCGTACTTTAATTGTAGATATACAAAATAATGCAAATTATTTGTATTTGAAAGGTAACATTTATTTGGATAGTTGTCTTTAATCTCTATTATTTTAAAAGTATTATAGCTCTTAATATTTTATTTTTTTTCAAAATATTTCTTATGAAATTTAGTAATTGATTAATAGTTATCAATTTTCATTGACGTGATATAATCTATGTGTATGAAGTATTAATATGACATTATGTTATGTATATAAGTGATGGGATAACGCATATCACATGTTTAAAATGTCGACAACATATATCATTTGTATATAGATGATGTTGTAGTATATGCTATGTATCAAAATTGATGACTTGATATATATTATGTATCCAAAATGATGACACGATATATATTACATCCATAAAAATATTATATTTTTATGAAATTAATATTATTAGTATTTTTATGATATTAATATTATTATAATATTATTAATAAGTTAATCTATCCAACAAAAATTATGTCAACGTCTTATTGACGGAAAAGTTGAGAAATTAAGAAATACAAGTGATAAAACTTAAGGGATAAAAAAGACTCTTATAATATTAACAAATATACTCCTATATTGCTATGTTAAAAGAATCTATACTTAATGTTACAAAATTATGTTATAATTAATATATTTTTCATTAATCCATTATTATTATTTATTATTTATTTATATTTATAAATATATTATGTATGTTATAAAATATTAATATAATAATATACTTTTATAAAAATATTTTAATATTAATATATTTATAACATAAATAATATATAAAATATATTGATATTTATATTCTAAATATAAGAATATATTTGTCAATACTATAGCAAGCTGTTAATTTGGTTTGATGGTTAGGATTTTTCATTCAAGAGCCCCAAGTCCAAATCCACCCATTTGTCTTTCTTAATTTTTTTATATTTTCCACTAATAATATTAGATGAAATTAATTTAATAAAAAATAAAATAAAATTATAAACACTTAACAATATCATAAAATAAGATTCATAATAATTATTCAAACAAATATTTATGTATTTTAAAATTATATCTATTTAAAATTGTAAGAAATTAAATAGAGAAAATAAACTCAGTGACCAAAAATCCCATATAATATACGATTTTAACCAACTTTTTTCGGATTTGCCAAAATGACCAACAAAATCGCAATGCGATCGCTAATTCGCAACGCGATCTCCATTATCGCAAATCAGTTTCCAGATTCGCAACGCGATTATGACTATCGCAATGCGATTTTCCAATTTCGCGTTGCGATTTTCCCAATTCGCAATGCGAATAAGTAAATCGCAATGTGAATTTGGAAAATCGCAACGCGATACTGACTATCGCAACGTGATAATATAAAATCGCAACGCGATACTGACTTTCGCAACTCGATACTTAATTTCGCAACTCAATACTGACTTTCGCAACGAGATAATACATAATCGCAATGCGATTTTCAAAGCGCCATTAGTATCGCAAAGCGTATTTTATTTTCAAATTCCAAACACGAATATTAATATATTGGAACACTGAACCGTCCACAGTATATCCCGTAATCGCAACTCATAACCTAAAACCTAAAATCACAACTCAGTCCCATCTCCATCTCTCACTCTCTCACCCATCTCCGACGAAATACGTCCCCATCTCTGGCGAAATCCGTCTATCTCCATCTCTCAGAGCCACCCTCATAATCAGAAATGGAAAATCAACCAAATCAACCACCGAGGGTTAGTTTTTTTAATTATTTTCTTTTTGAAATTTTTGCATTATTATTAGGTTTTTCATATTGAAATTGATGATAAGTTTACTGGTAATTTCAATAATAGATTAACCATTTCACTTAGATTGCTTATTAAATCAACCGAGAATCGCAACGCGAAATGAAAACCGCAACGCGATTTTATTCTCTCGTTGCGATAGTCAAATTCGCGTTGCGATTGTCATTTTCGTGTTGCAATTTTTATTTTCAGAAACTATTCTTCTTCTGCAAATTGAAACTTGAATGAATTGCATTACTTCAACCAAAAAACAAAGACAAATAAGAAATTCACAGTGTTGCAAATTTAAGTTTGAAGAATAAACTACTACTCTTTATGTTTATTATTATTTTTGGTATATCTTCACAGTGTAGTTTTTGGTATATCTAACTTAGTATGTTTATTGTTTTTGTAGAACTTTTATTCGGCTCAATTGACCTTAAGAAATAAAGTCAGACTGGCCAAAACAATTGCGTCGAAGCTTTCACCTACACAAAGAAAAATGTTTGAGGATACTTGCTTCGGGCCATGGCTGAAAGTACAACATCCCGGTGGAGATGCGATGTTGACACACCTGTTTCTTCAAACCATGACTAGGGATCTACCAGATACTATACAACGTCGTGATGAAGAGATATGGTTTGATTTTCCACCGGCGTATACGTGTTTTGGGCAGAAGGAGTTTTGCTTAATCACCGGTCTACGCTTCGGACACGATGATGTAGGTCGGTACACTAGACACATTACCCGCCCATCATGGTTATCCCGGGTTTTTCCTGAGCTGGAGAGGCCGAATCTACACGTGGAAGACCTGACGATATTATTGAATAAGAAAGATGGTTTTACTCGGATAGATGACGTCGATATTGTCCGAGTATACCTTCTAATACTTTTGCATGCCGGCTTTTTAGGCAGAGAGGCCAGACAACCTATTCCGAATGATCTAATCAAATTGGTAGAAGACCTAAATGCGTGGAACCTGTTTCCGTGGGGCTCATATTTATGGAAAGCTACATGGAATAAGTTATCGTCTGCCTTGGATGATCGAAAAAGTTTGCATGGCGATGGTTCCAATACACTTGACAGGCTTTATTTGGGCCTTTAAGGTAAGAATTTTTATATAATGTTTCCAAAATTATAAGTAATTATTTAACAATTACTAATTTGTTATTATATGTTTGTAGATTTGGATATTTGAGGCCTTTCCCGCCATGAAGACATATGCAATAAAAACTTCAAATGATATTCCCAGGGCTATTTCCTGGAAGAGGAAACGAACCTTGCAATGGGAAGATTTACTACAGTATACGACAATAAATAATGTAAGTTAACATAAATACTACCATATGTTTATAAACAAGTTATTACTAGTACACGTTTAACTTTGTTTGAGCCTTTTATATTGTTAGGAGGCCAACACTCCATTACAGAGGCTGACACCCACGGAAGCTGAGCTTGCCACTGATTGGTGGCAAGCTAGTAAGCGTTTTTTTGATGGCACGGATGATGAGCAGCCTCCACTTCGGGAGCCATCACCTCACCCAGAGCTATCACCTCACCTAGAGCCATCACCTGATCGACCCGACTATACACCTCCACAACGACAGCCATCACCTATTCTATCACATCATCGAGCATCTTCTCCACCATCACCGTAAGATAGGCGACCGACAAAGATGCCACGACGTTTATCTCCCTGTTCTCCACCTCCACGGGATGAGTTAGGAGAGTTACGTGATGAGGTCAATGCCTTGCTTGAGGAGATCGATACTTTACGCAAAGACGATGGTGCATGGCGTGTTGAGGGTGTCTACTTTACGCGATGAGATAGCCACTCTACGTGAGATGGTAGCATCGTTGCAGAATGAGGTTCATACTCTACGCAATGAGGTAAGTTTAAGATTTTCATATTTAACTTTATGATAAATTTACTCGTAATTTCACTTAGATTGCTTAATAAATTCATTCGGTTGCTGCCAATACTGCTAAACTATTTTTGTTAGTATTTGTTTTTGGTTTTGTTTTTGTCTTTTGGTTGAAGTAATGCAATCCATTCAAGTTTCAATTTGCA